CCCCCCCAACCTTCGTTCGGCCACATCCGATCTCCAATCGCTACTGTCGACGCCAGCAACAACTCACAGAGCTGTTGTGACCACATCCGAGTCGCTTCCTTGTACCCCTAAGAGTGCACGAATGAGGCCGTTCTGTAGACAATGGAGATCCGCTTTCTGATTGCTTCTTTGTTGCCTCGCTATCGATTATTCCACTCGACAAAACTCATCGTCTCATCTCGATCGCTTTTGTTTGTTTTTTTTCGGTTAGGGTCTGTTAGGTGTACTCAGCACTAGATACCGATCTACGAAGATCTAGGGGGGTTCGTGTATCATGTTGGTATGTGTTTGTAGGAGAGCGATCCTCCTTGGTTCTGCCTTGCATGGGCAAGCTAGCATGTCCTGGGCGCTCGTTGTTACCTCGTTGAATACTCAAGGTCTTGAGTCAATTTTCACTCTGAAGCCTCTGACGCAAAGCACCCGCTACATTCCCAAGAAGGTCTCCCCATGACGGGGAGGAGATCATCAGTGCCTCGTGTGCCGCATGTCGCGTAAGACACCGCACACACCCTGGGGTTATATTGTTGTGTGCAGTGGAGGCCCTGGTTCAACGACCCCAACTGTCCCGACGAAATGTGGCCGCTATTCGGGGCAGGTCGCTAGACCGAACTATCGATGACATTCCAGTTAAACTACCGGGTTGCAGCGGTGCGACGTGATTTTGTTGTCGCTAAACAGGGCAGGTCGCTAAACGGGAAGTCGCTAAGCCGAGGCCCCCACTGCACCGCACGTCAACACACCCCCTGGACCGGAATTGTTGTGTACCGCAGTTTGCATGAGAAAGCACACCGCCTTTGACCGATCTTGTTGTGTTGTCGTCTCGTGCCGTAGATCGACCATGATGGCGACGACAGCAGCGACGCTTTCGAGGACGACTTGTTCACGTCCAAGAGGCGCAAGGGCGGAGTAGGCGGCGGGAAAGGAAAGGGACACAAGAAGAAGAGGGAAACACTCAAGTACGTTTCGTCGTGTTGGTATTTTTTGCCGTTGCTGCTGCTGCTGCTCTTGTTGTCATTGTTGTTTGTCGTCATCGTTGTTTGTCGTGATTGCTGTTTGTCGCATTGTTGTTTGTCGTCATCGTTGTTTGTCGTCATTGTTGTTTGTCGTCATCGTTGTTGCCGTTGCTGCGATTGTTTCGTGCTGCTGCTATTGTTGCGGGTATAGTAGTCGTTCTCGTTTTTGCTGCTGCTGCTGCTTCTGTTGTGTTGCCGTGTGTGTCGTTGTCGCTATTGCTCTCTTAACGTCGTTTTTGAACGTAGAGGCTACGCTATCGCATGCGGGGATACTAGCAAATGAACCTGGTCAAGGCCGTGCTGATCCGAACCCGTGGAGATCGGTCCAACACACCAATCCGCGGGGAACATCCCGAAACGATCGATCCGTAGCGAGGGTATATGTTGGACAAGAATCGCTCGTAGAGAGACAAATTGCCCGTAACGTTCGACACTAACGACCACCCCAACCGTGCGAGAGGCCTGTTTTTTTACTCAAATCCTGCGGCCAAAGCCGACAGCAGTCCCATGATCCTCGTTGTGATCGCGTTCCCTTTCATGTTTCGGCACCGGGGGAGGGGGCGGTGAACTCTGGGTACAGCAGTCGAACATTGCCTGAAACGCCTCTTTTGTTGAGAACCGCATCGTGTTTTTCCTTGTTTCTTCGGCCGTGCTGTAGGAGGATGAGCGATGAGCACAGAGCGCGGTTCAAGGACGCGCTCATCAAGTGGCGGGACGAAAGGGCCGAGCAGTTCAGCCTGCGGTACTTCTACATCTTTCCGGAGACCGAGGTGGGTCTTTTCCGTTCCCTCCCCTTCGCGTTCCTTGTTGTTTTTGTTGCCGCGTTGCTGCTGCTGCTGCTGCTGTTGCTGCTGTTGCTGTTGCTGCTGCTGCTGCTGCTGCTGATGATGATGATCATTTGTTGCTTTTGTCGATGCTGTTGTTTGAGAGTGTTGTTGTTCATGTTGACGATAATGTCGTTGCTCTCGGCATCATCGTTGGTTGCTGTTGATCTTTGTTGTGGATATCGTCTGAGGTACCCTTTGATAAGTGGGCAAGGCTGTGCCTCTCGATGTTACTCTAGATGGTTGGCACCGCGAGTGGTCGAAGACCAGAAGTACGAGATACTTTTTGTGCTGTGCAGAGACGTGAAGATATGTTGAACACTGGCGCAACACACACAGATAGATCCACAGAGAACGCAGAGGTCCAGATGACGGCAGTTCCTAGAGATGTCCAGGCAAGCGAAGAGCCATGACTATCCAGAGAAGTCCATGAGAGGGATTCATGGGGAGAGTGAGAGACATGCGATTCCTCGAGCAGAGAAAACTACAGCCGTAATTCCTCCGCGGTATCTATGATACATAATCTACGATAGAGAGCAATGCTACTGAACATTGAGTAGTACAGGACGTGAGCCAATATTTCCATAACAATCTTGTTGTTATTGCTCATGTTTTGTGCTGATTGTTTTAGGGCATCCCAAGATCAGGTTTGTTGTGTGTGTTATGGAACCCCGCAAATCATGGCAGCCGTCCAATTCCGACGAGATGGACCAGTTCTAACGCCCCCTACCCTACTTGCTTCTTGTCTACAGCTCCTGGAGGTAATTCACAAGGTCCCCATCACATCAGAGGAGCTGTGCGACATCGGAAGCTGGCGAGGTGAGGGAGTCGCTTTCACGTGTCTACAAACGGCGGCGGTAGCCTACAACATTCCTCCGGTCGACATCCTGGACGAGGCGGAGAGATGGCACCCCCCCTCGACCGACTTTCAAACTTCGATTGCTCCATCCACAACCATCCTGGGGGCGCGGCAAGAGCCCGATACGCCTGCAGAAAGCCCTCGACGAGATGTTTTCCACAACTCACCATTTTTGGTTGTTGACTACAGTAGTCAAGCTTTGAAAGTCGATCTAGGGGGGTTGTCATCTCTCCGCCTCTTAATGCGGCACAACGTAAATATTGAACGTTCTTGCAGACAGCAGTGCAACCGTTGACTTCTTCAGAGTCAGGTGGAACAACTGCTGTATCTCGATATGGCGTCCCCAACACTGAAAAACAGTGGAAATTACACATAAACTCAGCAGAAAACAAAGCACAAGCACACAACAAAATACTCTGTGCAAAACCAACCATGAATATGTGACGAATACAAAAAAGCAACACTCGAGTAAAGTTGACTACAACACCTCCCATATTTATCGCGTTGGTGCCAAAACAACCTCAGGCGTCCAAAGCTTTTGGGACGCCACACATACAGGTTTGTATTTACCACGTGTTTTGATTGATCACCCAGGTAGCGCGGCCAACTCTAATTGAAGAGACACCCAACGTACACACGCACCTATCTTTTTTGTCTTTCCCCTCGCCTTGTCATGCATGCTCTTCTTGTGGCGGATCGGAACCCCCACCGCATACAGGCAACCAGAAGCTGGCCACCCACGGCGAGTCTCTCCTCTCCCTCATCAAGGGATACATCGACGATAACAATATCACGCTGCAGGGGCAGTTTCCTTGGGGAGACCAGGAGATCAAGGTGTGGACGGGGATTGCATACATATCGTCCTTCTTCCGTTTGGTGGTGTATCGCGCCGCAAGGGGCACTTGCTGCGTAACATTGTCGTGCTTTTGTCCTCGCTGTTTGTTCTCTGCTCCTACAGTGCGAGAGCGTAGAATGGCCAGGGGGGACTGCGTTGGTCTCTCACGAAGGTCTCCGGTGTTCTGCGCAATACCACTTCCCGTGTGTGTGGGGCCAGGGGGAGCTTAGTGTGTATAGCACAATGCAGACAAGACAAGAAATGCAGATACATGGAAATGCAGACACATGTATACTGCGCGACCTCTGCATTCCTTCCTTGCAAATGGTGTTGCACCTGTCTAAGGCACCCACGTGTCAATACTGGTTGCTCCCCCCTCCCTACCCACCTGTCGACATTCGTGTTGGTTTCCGTCTCCCTGCCTACTTCGGGCACTTCATGACTCCCGCCGCTCTCCCCGGCCTTACCCCGTGAAATCCCTCCGATCGCGCGATGCAGCCTCCGGAGTTCACACAGGGAGGGGGCATGTCAGGCATCTCCGATAGGGACGACGGAGACAACGGTAAGGGGGGCCCGTGTCTCACAAACCGCTTTTTTTGTTGGAGGAAATTGTTTGTTTGTGGGTTCAATTCTTACGGAGTATCCGTGCGTCCGTTCGCTCCGGGGTCCGCAGATGGTGCGAATAAGAGTTGTTTTTTTCGGCGAGGGGGGGTTGTACTCATAGTCGTGCATGCCGTAGTC